ATCCAAACCATGAAATGTAAGGGCTAATAGCTTTTCAGTCACATGACCATGTAACTTGTAAACCTATGATCAGAAAACGAGCAGTTGTATTGCATTACTGAAACTTGCAAAGATAATGGAAACCCACATAGGCATAACTATTTTATATTGTGCAGTACGTTAATTAGTATACCCTTGGCTTCTGTGAATTACTTTTCGTTCAACCTCTCTTGTTCAGAAGGCTTTGAAACCTTGTTATTTTCATGGATGCTGATCATCCACCAGAACCTCATTCAAGTAACCATTATTCCTTTGGGAGATTTGTCTCTGAATGTTTCAGACCAGCTATTGAACTGCTGGAAAATCACAGCTGAGCCCAATCTCTCCTTCCTGAAATCTACAGTTTCACTGAATCGTGATCAGGGAGCAAGACACCCGACTGATTCAGGGGGGTTCCTGACTCGGGGCACCGAGGTCAATTGTAACACTATTGCTGTCATCCTGGTTGAGATCAGCTAAAGTTGACTGGGTTCAAGTCTACCTTGACATCATGGCTCATTTAAAGACTGAATTCATTCACTATATCAATAGACTTCAGACATTTGCTGAGTTTTGTTCATAAAGGAATGCAATGCTAGAAAACCAGTGAAGGAAAACAGGTGTAAATGAAATATGCTTTTTTTTAAAATAAATCTGTTAATTTAAAATAACACCATTCATGTCAGAAGGATGTCTCAAAGCATTTCACACGATTTTACTGTGAAGTGTATTGACTGTCGTTAGTAGACTAGCTCTTGATATAAATGGTATATCATGAGGGTGTGATGTTCTGATGGACCCTTGAAATTGTAATCCTGTGTCTTGCTTTTAATAGTTTTGTATCAATTTTGTTCCTTTTATTTTCTATTTTTCATTTTTTTTAGAACCTACAGAACTGCATTAACTGCTGAGTTTAAACAATAGTCATTAATCACTTGGGTAAATTTAATCTCAAACACTGACAGGCAAGAGAAGACTCGATCTGTAATGTCTTAGTGCCTTGATTAGTGGGAAATTATTTGAATTATGATACAAGGGAATCGTGTTAGACAGAAGTCACTAACAACTGCATCCTCTGCATGCAAAATACTGGTCTGTCATTCATGACATTGTACCCGAGAGAACAATTCTATTTGCATAGATATCAGAGGTGCGAAACAACAATTCTTTAACATTAGGATACAACAACTTGCTGTATAGTGCCCTTCACTTGCAGTAATGTCTCGGGAACTGGTTGGACACTGAGCTGGGAAGAGGACATAGGTGTGTTTAAAGGATTTGAGGTGGGATTTAAAGGTGTAAAGAGGGCACAAGACCTCGTGGCAAAGGTAATGGTAGTTCTAGATCTAGACCTTGGGAGCATAGGCCTTGGCAAGGCCTTTTTTTAAAAAATTGTACCCTTTGGTATCAAATGCTGTTTAACCTGTGGTTTGGTGTTATGCTCAAAAATTGGTCAGTTTCTCTTTGTAGCCATTTCAAAGGACCACAAAGCTCTTCGTCCCATCACAATAATTTGGAAATAGGAATTTCTATAAGCAGCCTTAATGCATTGAACTGTTAAATAGGAAGGAGCCTGAAACAAGTGGAAACATTGTGATGAACAAAAGATCATTGCAGGGTATGCCTTATTGTACTGTCTAGTGTGATTTTGTTTTATGTTATATGCTTTCCCACTTTGAGCTTTTTAAAGATAAGTAATTGTCTGTAATGGAAAGATTGTTCTTGGAGAGCATATGCAAAAACCGTCAAAGAAAAAGTAACTTATTTTTAGTATTATCATGGATTTTTTTTCATTGGCGTTGAATTTGGATTTTAGTTCCCTATGCTTTTCCTTGGAATTGCAGAACATCCTGTCGTGTAATGTGTGTAACCAATCTTAATTTGTTTTTGTGAACTAGGATTCAATACGAGAAGCTTGTTTTGTTTTCTCGTTCCTAGTTTTAATGATGGAGTAGGAGGAGATAGGAAGAGGATATATGGATGTTCAGACAAGATAAATAGCGGCAACTGGATGTGAGCACAAAATGGTGTGTCAATTTTAGAAATCGAATTTGAATTTTTTTTGTTTAAAAAAAATCAGTATAAATGTTACTTAACAGAAAGATGTGTGAAATATTGATCACAGCTAGAAGTTGAACCAATGAAACTATTTTTACCGATGTAGTTTATTTGAGCTTGTTTTTCCAATTTTTAACAATTTTTCCAATGTAATTTTTTTTAAATGTTCGCATCAAAACTGGGTATAATTCACTACAAATGGAGATTAATCCATGTAGCTTTTTAAAAATTGTGTATGAGTTTGTGAACCATGTATGTAGCAGGCTGCCCCAATTATAGCACTCTTGTCTCTGAGTTGGAAACTTGTAGGTTCAAGCCTCACGTCAGGACTTGGAACTAGTCTAAGTGGACACTTCAATGCTGGGTTAGACAGGTGGGTGCTGCATTGTTGGCGGTGCCGTTCTTAAGGTGCTAGATGTTAAAG